GAACAAACATGTACAGAAGCCCAAATAGAGTTAGCTAAAGGTTCCTGAGAAAAACCAGGAAAGTACGGTATCCTGACATGAAGGAGTGTGTTGAGAGAGAGGGAATGGTCACCTGGGTCAAATGCAGATGAAAGATCATACAAGGTGATTGTGGGAAACCTCTACTGGATTTAACAACCTGGGGCCATCAGTGCCATGGCACAGAAACAGGACCACAAAGTTTGGTGAGTGAATGGATGGTGATGAAATAGAGAGGAATGGCTATTAGTGGGACTAAGGAGTAGGCATAAAAGACAGACGGGATGATGAGGTTAATGTAGTATATGTGTACATTTTAATGTTATGCATGAGAATATTTGCATGTTGGAGAGGAAATCAACTAGGAAAGAAAACACTGAAGATACAAGAAAGAATGGAGGAAACCAGTGGCAAAAGGTCAGATTCAAAAATTACAATACAGATACCGAAAGTGGGATGGACTTAGAGTTAGAAGTTACAGAGCCACGGCTGCCTGTCACCAGTGATCAGTTTCTGCCAGGTACAGGATTAAGGACTGACAAAGATTGACAAAGAAAGTGTGTGTCCCTTCAGTTTTATGACATCTCTTCATGCTGGCCCTCTCTTCTGTTTGATTTAAATAATAATCTTATTGCATAAACTAAAGCACATGAGTTTGTTAATGTTTTTTTTTATCATGGCAACCTGTAAATAAGAAAAATAATTAATTCCCATGGTCTGATGGGAAGGAATAAATCAAGCAACAACATTTGGATTTTGTCTATTTTGCGATGAGCACTTGAAACCTACGCTGTTGAAAGCCTTGAATGTCTCCAGAAATATATAAAAGGATTAAAGCAATCCATGTGTTTATTCATTCAGTTATACATGGAATACTTATTCTACAGATATTTATCAAGTAGCTATTACCTGCTAGCCATTGCTTGGGACAAAAGGGGTGATGAAAACAAAATCCTTGCCTCCATGGAGATTGTCAGATTTCCACTTTTCTAGGGAGAGGAAAGTACTAGACAAATGTACACATAATATTAAATATAGATTTACTATAATAACATTAAATATATACATTATATAGTGTCAGATCTGATAAGCACTATGAATCTTTAACATATAAAATTTAAAAACACAGAACTGATAATTTAGGTAGAAATAGATAGTTTTCAAAAATGTGTATTCCTATGATACAAATATGAAATGGCTGCTTTTAGTGGAGAGAATATTAGATGCACCTATAACGTAGAACCATTAAGAATGATGCCTAGTGACACATGGTGAGCACTCAATAAATAAGTATTAACTGTTATTATAGGACAGAACTGTACCACAGGCTAGCATGCAGTGAAAAATCAGAGAAGGCTCCTTGTGGAGGCGGCTAGGTGATGACACCTAAACTTAGTCAGGAAGATTGAAGAGAGACCAGGCAGATGAAGAAGAGGGAAGGCCTTCCCAAGTGGAAGGAATAGCAGGTGACAAGACAAGACCAACCCACAAACAAAAGTATGATACTGAGCGGTAAGTCTAGGAACCTACAATTGTGGTTTTGACTGAAGTATAGAATTTGTGGCCATTGGAGGAAAGGGTATCAGGAGAACTAGAACGTGATTCAAAACGGCTTCTTGCTCTGGAAAAGCCAGATTTCAGGACAGTGTTGAGAGTGGGGTGAGAACTCATGTCTTCTAATCATCTCCATCTTCCCTATTAGACTGTACATTCTAGAAATAACCCCTCTGTGCCAGGTTCTGTAACTGCGGGCTGGAGTTAATCAATTAGCTTTGAAACCTACTCTTAACAAGTAAACAATGACGAATAACATTTTTTGAGTAATCTCTATTATCCATGTACTGTTTAAAGCAATCCTCATGTATTAATCCATTTGATCCTTAAAACAACTCAATAAACTGAAAAGTCTTATCACCTTTCTATAGATGAAGAAACCAAGGCAAACAGCAGTAGTTCTTGGTTACCAATGTATTCTTAATTGCTAGGTACAGTGTCTGACATCACAATATCTTAATAAATATTTTGAATGACAAATTAATGGACAAGAGAATCAAGTGGAAACCTGGCTTTTCTAGGGCCAGGACTGCTCATTCTTAATTAGGTTGCTGTCTCACTGGTCATTTTGTGTGACAATTATAGGACAATGGTTTTCAAATGTTTTGATGCATCAGAACCTCTAGAGGTTCTCACTAAAAATTATAATTCTTTTGGTCTGGAAAAAAGCCAATTGCATTTTTAATAGGTTGGCAAGCATTTTATTCTAGGATGATACCTGGATACATTTTGAAAAACACACTGTTGTGAAATATGAGTTGATAGTCATTACAACTAGATGTAAAATTCTTGGATAATGGTTGTGGCTTAGATTGTCAAAGGAAGGAGAAGGGGTATGAGGACTTCAATGACAATATAAGGAAATCATCAGGTGCCGTGCAATCAGGCTACCTGCCCACTTCATCTGTAACTGCAGGGCTTCTCATCTTTGGCACTCTTAGCAGTTTGAACTCGATAGATCTTTGTTTTTTTTTTTTTTTAATTTTAACATGTATAGCAGCAACTCCAGACTCTACTCACTGGGTGCCAGTAGCTCACCCAACCCCTCAAGCTGCGACAACTAAAAATATCTCCACACATTTTAAGTGTGTCACATGGTCAAATTGCCTGGAATTGGAAAACCGCTGCCATAGTGGAAACCAGAAAGCTTTCTCCAGACTCTTCCTGATAGCAACTTCTGGCTTTCTAATCTAGAGTTGTATAAGACACTTCTGTTCTCTAAGATCTATAAAATCTGTTTCTCCATAAGTGTTCCTCCAAGAGACAGTATGGTTTGTTTGATGAGCACAGTGTACACTCTTGGCTTTGTTTGGAACTCACAGTGTCATCCTCCACTCCCACCACACACACAAACACACACACACACACACACCCACACACAGAGCTGGTTTAGTAAATCAAATGAGACAGACTGTCAGGGTCAAGACATGGCTGATATACAAAATCATCATTCCTTCTTCAGGTTCCGGAGGGCACAGATCTCTTTAACACAGTTTACAGGGAATTATAATTAACTATGACAGCAAAATAAGATCAGTTTCCCAGAAGATATATATTAAAAAAAGGGCAAAAAAAAATCAAAGGAAGAGACACAGAAATAAAAAAAAAATAGATAAAATTGCTTGAAAAAAGGGGCTGCAGTAAGTTTGAAATGTTTCAGCCCTAAATTGGCAAAAACCTAGATTTCAGAAAATACAGAAAATTTCCAAGTCTGGAAATTACCCAAGTCCTTTATCTTTTACAAGAATAAGCAGACAATGTGTAATTACTTAAGGATATATCCTTCACCTTTCCCCTCCATTAATTTCTCTTCACAGTTTTCAGCATCTTTCAGTTATGTATGAGAACAATATAAGTAAAATTTTGTTAAGAATTTTTGATGGGAAACTGTCAACTATTGTTGTATAATAACATGCAACATCACATTACCATTGATATAGGCAGAAATCTCACCTAATCTTAGCGAAATGCAAAGAGTACCTAGCCAAGTATTTGTTACTGCACACTTCTAGTGAAATAATTCCTAGTTCACTGGCTAATCAGAGCAGTGAATCAGTGTGTGCACCCAATGAAACAGACAGCTAACCAAAGCACAGATTTTAATTGACCAGAAACAAACAAACAAAACTACCCAGATTTATATTGACATCAACTTAACTAAATGTATTCACCTCAAAATCTATTATAATGAAACTTTACTGTTACACAAATTATTTGGTATGAGCTACCTTTCCTAACACTCTTTGTGGAAGAGAACAATGCTTCCTAATTAATAAGTAGTAGAAGATAAACAAGGAAGTCAATACCCATTTTCAGAGAAGACTAAAGAGATGGAGAACCAAAGAGGGGGAGAAGAACCCAGCACTGCATCATCTGTTTTTCTGGCAAGGAAATATCTGTAACCTTGTTATCCCCATTCAGCTCCTTTAAGTGCTTTCAGAAGGTAGGATAAAAAAGGTTACCTTAAGGTCATGCACAAACATTGTTACTTCTACCTTGAACTATTTTCTGGGGGACAAAGACTCTAAGGTAACTCATTGGTATATTGCAGTTCACCCATGAATCTGGTCAATTCCAGGTTGTTGTGAGATGATCGATGACCCAGCCAAAAGAGCCCAATCCCAGGGCTTTGGTTAGAAGCAGTGATTTAGGAAGGCATAAAGGCAGAAGATGGCTGGGCAGAGCAAGCCTGCTTGCACCACCACCACTGTCTTCGCCTGTACAGTGGTTCAAGCTGCCAGAGGCTTTCTGGTTGCCACGGCAACTGTTGGGCTCTGCTGCAAACTCAAAGCAGAGCCTCTGAAGTTAGGTATCAAACACTGGAGCTCAACAAACGCAAAGGGGAGAACAAGGATCACCCGTAATAGATCTACAACTCCTATGGCTAAAATAACCTTTTTAAAATCGGAATTTTGTTCACGTTTTTGTATAATGAGGTAAGTCTTGCCTGGCATTGTTCATTAGTGTCATCTTCTGGTGCAAGGAGAAAGGAGACTGCAAATCCTCTCACTTACAACGGCAGCGGAGGGGGTGTGGGTAGGAAACGTGATTACCAGGAATGCACCGAGCCCGCTCTTTCATTCATTCAGTTATATATTTCAACATATGCTGAGAGCGTATTTGTGTCAGGCATTGTGCCAGGTACTGGGTCTGCAAAGAGAAGTGAGGTACCGACCCCCACCTCAACACACACAAATTAACAATAATTAACAAAAATTAGCATAACCTTCGCAAGCCTGGGGAAAACCGGTTAGGCACTGCCAGCTCTCCACGGGTCCCTCTTGGAAGACAGATTCAGAATCCAAACACGCAAAGGGAAAGGAGACCCCGGAAATAGAGCTGGGCAGGAGGGAAGGCTGGGGGAAGAGGGAAGCCAAGTTCCCCTAGGGATGGAAGTCTGTCAGGGCCACGCAACTGTTCCTTTGAGGCTGGTAGGGAGAAGAGGTTTGTTTTTCTTTTAGAAAGACGGAGCCCTTTCCCCTACTGGGCTCGATTTCTAGTAGGGGAAGCCCCACCTCTTTGGGCTTTTGATTGGCCCTACTCTTTTTCAGATAATTTATGCCAGCATCCTCTCGGTCTGATTGGCTCCTTCGCTCGATTCCGCTGGGAGTCGCATCCTACCTGGTTGGGAGGTGTACTGCCTTCTCACACTCCGTCCTCTCGTACTCACCGGGCTGCAGCTGCGGTGGGAGAAAAAGTCCTGGTCTGGAGAACTGAGCGGAAAAAGCGATCCTGATGGGTTCTTGGAAAGCTCTTCTCTTCTCCCCTTTTCTTCTGTGGAGTCAAAGGAGAGGGGTGAGGCTGATATTCCTCTTACTGACTCTGCATCTGGGAAACTGGTGAGTTAAAAACTATTCTTTGGTATCCCCCCCCCTCCCCTTTCCCCCTCACTTCTCTTTCTTTCAAAAATCATTCTAGGTTAAATAAATTTCATTTCCCTGAGCATATGTGCAATATTTTACCATCATTTTATTTTTGATTAGATCTACTCTTTTGCAGATAGAACAAAATTAGCCTATGTATGAAGCATAGAGATTAGCTCAGTTGTTTTTGACTTGAAGCACAGTAGAAACTAGTAAAGGTTCAGTTACTGGGAGTGGGGACAGGAAGTAGAAATGATTTTGCTACTGCCTTTGGTGATTGAATGCCATTGATGAACTTTCTGGATGATTCTGCATTTTAAATAAAAAGTTATTTTAGAAACTTGTTACACAGCATGGTATGTATGATGCTTTTTTATTCACTAATATTGCTTTCTCTCTCTCTCTCTCTTTTTTGCTATTCTAAAAAAAAGCAAAATTTTACATCAAGGAAGATTCATAAATATGGCTAAAAATCCATCAGGGTTGAAAGTGTGTCATATTTAACTTAGAAATAATTATGCATATTGAGCTTTGAATGATTTTCATTTTACTTGGCTGTGTACAAGTAAATAAGAATTGTATGGTGATATGAAAGCTCTGGCTGTATGTGTGTGTGTGTGTGTGTGTGTGTGTGTGACACACAGAGGGAGCGAGAAAGTGAGAGAGGGAGAGCGATTACCAACCCCCAAGCCTCCAATTCAACAGGAACAATTCTTGAGCTGCTTGGGCTGTAATGCCTTTCAAAAAAACTTTGAAATCATTCTGCTAGAAAAATAAAATACTCAGATATCACACCTTGATATAGGAGTAGTGGGTGAACAAAATTAAAATATATTGATTGAGACATAGATACTATAAAGGTCTTGGACAAACTACTCTTATCATGTAACTGTGTTTTGTACAAATGCACATTTAAAATTATGTTAAAGTATATGTGATCCTGCTTAGAACTCCAGTAAAATGCAGTCACTTACAGAGATGGAAACATGTCTTTATAACTACTTGCATCATTGCTAAAGTTAATTATTATGATGATTATTTTTAGCATATAGCTAGAGTGAAGTTTTTGCCATTACTAGCAGATTTTTCTCCCCCCAAATAGAGAATGGATTAAAACAGGGTAAGTAATATTAGATTTGCCAGAATATGTTTGACACTCAATGTGTTTTAAATATTACAGTTTTAGTGAATTTACCCCTTTCTCTTAGAAACTTAAATGTTCTGCATGGGCACAAAAATACTACTTGATTAATTATTTCTTATGTATAACTTGTGTCATAATGGTCTATTTCTTTGAATATATGATACAATTATGGAAGATATTTCAGTAGACCATGTTTCAGTGCTCTCATGTATCTTGATAATATCACAAATGAATCTGTGTTGTCAAAAGTAAAAACAGACTTACTTAGTGGTGTTTTGAAATATCAAACTGTATGCTCCTTTATCTTTGTAAGTGCAAGTTTCTCTGGCAACCTCATAGATAAGCTGCTTACTAAAGGCCACGCTGTCTATCTAAAAAAGATGTTTGGGTTTAAAGAATACATTTTGTTCCTGAGTATATTTACATTATGAGCATCGTAACTAGTTTCAGAACTGTCTTCAAGCTGCTCAGAATTAGAGTGGTGTGGTGCCAGGGACAGAGGTGGGCTCTGGCAGACAGGAGACATGATTCTATGTGTCAAGAGCCCTTAACCTCTCTGAGCACAGTTCCTTCATCTAGGAATTGGAGGGTAGTAGCACAGCGTTTATAATTTCTTCAAGTTTTCATGTTCAGTATGTCTAAGATTTGAACTGAAACAGAAAATAACTCAGTGCTGGCATCACTGGCATTTCTTAGTAGTTTTCAAGAGGGAAATTCTAATTGGGAATGCTCTATACTATTTTCTTGCCATATATATGAGTGAGTGAGAGGGAGAGATGGTTATACAGTTAAAATAAATCATTTTATCATAGTACTATAGAGAATCTGGATTATTCTGGCCAGTGATTAAATACATATTAAAAATAAAGCTATATGTTACTGTTGTAAATTAGCTCTTAGGGCCTCAGTTATGACAGTGTATGTCTTCACTTTTCAAAGTAGCTAGCTACAGTTGTGGTGAACTTTTCATCCTTTTAATATTTAGTTGAAGATAACGGATGTTAACATGCATAAGCATTTACATTCGTATTTTCTTCTTCCTTTCTCCTTTGGAGGGAACCTTTCTAAAACTAACCACAGATGGTTCTGTTTACATAAGACTATTGATATCTTCTGCTGGAGTCTAAATTAAATCTTCAAAGTCACCCATTTTGGGATTTACCAGATTGGAAGCTAGTATTTCTTGTATCTAATCAGAGACAGTAGCTTATTTCCTCATTAGTTTTCATCAGGACCATAAAGGAGGGACACTTTATTGATTTTTATATTGCTGAGCTATGAAAACCAATCCTGTTGTAACTAAAAGCTGTAGTCATGGTTCCTATGTTTCATTCTCTGTGAGGCTCTATGGCACCTTGGTAAGTGCTTAAAATCTCTTATGCTTGATTTGACTTATTTGTAATGTTGAAAAATATAATTATAATCAGACTTTTGAAAAGAATTGAAAAAGTGCTTTGAGATTTTAGCTCTTCTAAAATGTAATTTATGATATGCTTTGACTAAGAAGTTATATTTTGAGATAGCTCAAGGAAAAATAACTCATTTTTGTTTTTTAAAACAATTTCATGAGTCAACAATCATACAATTTAGCAATCAACTGCCCAAATGACAATATTTAAATATAATTGCTTTATAAAATATATTATTTTCAAAAAATTTCAGTCATGTATTTTGTGGCTGGTAGTGCATGATTTTTCTTTAAGCATTTAGATTTTTGGCCTCATTTTCTAATAAGATATGGAAGCAAACTTGAGGACAAAATGACTAATGATGCTCTATGATAATTAAATATTCAAAGAAGAACTGAGAGACAAAATGATTTTGAAGCTAAAATGTAAAATTCTACAATAAATAAATCCCCTATGGATTGAGTCCTCTAGGTATGCTCTTCTAACATTTTATCCTGTTACATATACTGTGGGACACACTTTTGGTTAAGCAACCGAAGGAAATGTTTTGATTTTTCATTTAAAAATGAAACAGACAAATCTAATATTTTATATTTATACAAAGGTGATTAAAATTTGTCTAAGAAAATAATAACGAAGGGGGTTCGAAAGGAAAGGAGACAAGACAGGGTGGAAAACTGAAAAAGTGTCTCTTGAGATAGTATCCAAATATGATGAATTACTGCCATGGGGGAAGGAGGAGGAGTGGGCATAAATTGAATGTATGGACCTCAGGAGAATAATTCACATATATACATGCTACCAATCCTGGACTTGAACATTAGGTGTAAATTTTAGTTTCTGCTTCCCACTAGGGTGATTTCAGGCAAATTTGTGGGGAAGAGAATCCTCATTTGTGAATGGTAGAAATTACATCTACTTTTTCAGCTGTTTCAAGACCAAAAGAGAAAATTTGTGCAAAGTATATGGCATTTACAATTTTAATTTAAATGACATAAAAATAGATATTCTTGGAATCACAGTAATCCTAGTATTATTTATTCTAGTTAAAGTTGTTTAAGTCAAGTAAATGCCTTGAATCCTTTGTGCATTATTAAATATGTTTTGGTTTATGGAAGAGATCATTCAGTCTTTCATTCAACAAGTATTATTGAACGCCTGCTATGCACTCTACACAGTGCAATTTGCTGGGTTTACAGTGGTGAATAAACTAGTCTTCAGTACTAACCATGTGGATAGTACTTGTGCCTAGTACTCTATATGCGTATGGCCATTCTACTCACTGCTAAGGCTTAGATTTATGGTATTAATCAAAGGAAAACATCTTCTAGTCAAAAAAGGGAAATATACCTTCAGAACTCCAAAGATGAACAAAGGCATCTACATTTTTAAGGTTAGAGGGTGATGATAGAAAAGATTACAATCAAGGAAGGAGATTTAGAAAGCCATGAAATTACTCATCAGCAATACCAAAAAACCATGAGGGAAATAAATGTCTCTAAAATTCTAAAGACAAATGTCCAACTGAGAAGGTTATACTTAGCCAAACCATCAATCAAGCGTGAAAGGGAAATAAAGCCCAGATACTGCTATTCTCCCCATTTTACAGATGGAAAAAACCAGGGCACAGCCATTTTTGGGGACTCACTAAAGATCATCTTGCTGTTAATGCTGAATCCAAAACTCAGAATCATGTGCTCTGTGCCCAGCGCCTGCATCTTAATCACCTTTTCTCTAAAATTACAAATGCCATGTAAATCAAAACATTCATCATAACTGTGGATGAAGGGGCAGAAAAAGTAAGTGAAGGAGGGTAAGAAGGGAAAAGGAAAAGAAAGGAAAGGAAAGAAAGGTTAATGCAATTGACAGAAGCACAATAAGTATACAATCCACTGTGTATCTATCATATAATCTGGAATATTATACGCAATGTTGTATTAATCATTTTAGGGGAAATATCAACAAACTGGAGTACTTGTTCTAGAAAAAAACACCAAGGGATAAAGAGTTAAAAGCAAGAATTCAGAATTTAGATAAATTTTGTTGAAGAATCAGATATTTTTTAAAGATGCTATATGAAATCATAATTGAATTTATTATGTATAGATGTAACAGACAAATCATAACCAAGTAGGGAAAGCGACAGCAAGGCAGATTTTCATCAATACAAAAGCCCTCTAACAAAATAATAGATGTCTTAGACTTCAAGCAGAAGCTTGTTAGAGATCTTGTATTCTTTGGTAGGCAGATGAAATTTATATTTTTTTCTATTTTTAAATATCTCAGAATCTAATTCTGTCTGTACTAAAATAGTTTAACCAACCGAAGTCTCATGTATCAGGAAATAATCCTAGCTATTAAATCATTTAGTAAACATTTATTGAGCATTAGCATTCATTCAACAACTATTATACTCAGTGCCT